TCGTCTTTCTGCACAACCACGATGTCGTTATATTCTGGCATACATCTAAAATTTCCATGCTTCGAGTAGTTTTTATCGAAATAGGTTTATTTCTCTACGAAAGAAAGATTCTAGGGTCAATTTTTTCGAAGGCACAGTTTATGATACTTTTTAGACACTTGTTTGGATGGAGTAATGGATGTTATAGGGCAAAATAGTGCAACAATGGCGACGAAGGCGTGAAAATCGGTGATTTTAAGAGAAAGGCTGCAGAAAGTTGTCAGAAGAGAAGTGTGGTATGTGGCGAAGACAGAGGTGACATGGAATCACAAGTGGTAACAACATATTGAGTTTCTGACAGTCTGGATATGGTGTTCTGTGGTCACAAAAGATTCAGTAGATTAGGTCAGTGCCAGCATATTGCTGGCGTTTAACAGTCCTTGTAACCATTATTGCCTTTTACCAACTTATCATATTTTATCGCCCACTTTTGGTGAATGCTTCAAATCGACTTTATATTTTCGCATTCTTAGCTTTTATCTTTTTTAGGAACCATCTATGTCTTCTTCCAGTGAATTTATCACCATTTAGTGCGAACCTCCCATGTACTTCTTGAGTGGGATCAGCTTATCGAATCTCTTTGAACTCTTTTCCCATTACCTTCCTTTCAATTCTCACCAGTTAGGTAGGATAAGTACTCTATCTCACTGTTGAGGAAAACTATGGTGAGCTGAGTGTGGTGGCATGAAGTAGCCGATGAGCAAGGTTTATACTTGTGATCGTGAGTGATGCGTTTTTGGGTCTTCGTTTAGGATTTCCCTTTCTTCATTCTTTTACTAGCTTCCTTCGTTACTTCTTTGAAGTTTTACAAAATGGAAGTAGTTAAACTAATCAAAAGCTGCGACCGATACTCGCAGCCTTTACTTGGAAAAGTACTTCTCAAGGGTTCATGCCCGTCTGTTTTCTAAGATAAAGCCACTTTGTTCATCCGTCCTCTGATTGGTGCTAGCCAGATCGTGAAGATTTGTTGCACCAGTTGGGTGATGAAACTGTGTTTCCCAATGGAACAGTCCTCACCTAGCGATACCTTCGATTCCCATAATTGCAGTGACTTTAGAACCGCAAGTCATTTTGTATTCAGACGTGAATTGGTGATCGTACGCATTGAAAGCTGGAACGCTTCTTGACTTGGTGTTCAGCGGCGTGACTATATCCTATAAAATCAATGAGTATAATAATAGTAGCTAGTATAAAACAATATAACATCCACTCAGTACGCAAAGCTCTCAAGTTTCTGTGTGCCATCTTAAGTATTTGCAGCAAACTTGATGATTCCCACTCCAAGGGTAATATAAGCGATCTTACGCCTTCCATTGATGCTTCGCTAACTGCTACTTTCTTCCTTAATGCTTTTTCGTCTTTCGTTTTGGAAGCTGAATCTGCACTGCGACTGACTGCTATGTTGGTAAACTGCAATTGGCTCTGAGATCCACATCGATACACAAGCTCTGGACTGATTCAGAATCACTCACGATGACCGAGTAGAACAGAACGATTCTCATCTGCATACTGTAGAAAAGGTTATGAAAAATGAAAACCATACTTCGTTACTTCCTTTATATAATCTTGATAATTCCTCGATAGCGTAGAGCCATTTTTCAAAGGCATTTCTTTTCGATGATACTTAAAATCGGTTTTCCATTCTCATTCATTATAGCGAAATGACTGGTCTGGCTAAATTAGGCCATTTGGAAGGTTGAGTTGGGTTCGAGGAAGACCTATGAATTGTATTTCCATCAGTGAACCCCAGTGACCTTTTTACATTGGATTAATCTGCATCCACGCTGGAAGAGAAGTAATGGGTCTATTTGATTTTTGCTTTTTTTTTGCTCTTCAGATTTGAAGGGTTAGACGAGGCACCTCTCTTGGATTTAACTATTTTGTTATTTCATTAATTTGATATCAGTTTAAAGAGGGATGGATCACTCTTTTGACATCAAGCCACACGACCAGTGTTGCAGAATTCTTTGAAGCTGATATTAAAGGCACAGTTCACAAAAATTATTTCTGAGTTTACTTCGTAGTATGGATTCGAGGCCCCGCCTTACACCATATCTGCCGTTAGGAGGTCGAAAAAAACGTCTTTTATTGGGCACGATAGAGGCGAGAGATTGTATCGTGTGAATGCCACACCCATAATGTACGAGTTTCAACGACGTCGTGGAGGCTGCACCATCTTAAACTACTCCCATTTAGAAAATTCAAAGAATCTCTCATGACCCATAGCGACAGTGAAATCCAGTTTCGGACAATTTCGGCTTGATGTAGTTCTTTGCGCTTCGCGCTCTTTGCGTAGTTAAAGCAAGTGGAATCTCGTCCGACACTTCTCACATGCCATTCTCGCCATGGTGATCCCATACAACCTCTTTTCCACTACTTTTAGGAGCCTCATATTTCGCGAAGAGGCGGTTTCTCTCTCTTTCTCCGTCACCGATGTACTGCTCTACAACAACACTTCAATTTTCAATTTAAAAAGCATATCACAGAATGATCGTGAACTGTGCTTTGAAGGCGAAAACAACATGTCTAGTTTCAAGATGTGGGGGCTTTGAAATCATGATAATGAGCAGTATCATGTGATCATTGCAACTATGTTTATGCTGATAGGTGCTAAATAATATGGTTTTTACCATGAAAAAGGAACTCAGAAGGCGTGGAAGGAGCTCCTTTCACAGCACCTCATTCTTGTTTTGCAAAGAAAAGAAAGGATGAAAAGTGGTGCAACTTCTCTTACCTTGAGGTTGCTCTACTTTTCATCTACGCACATTGTCCACCTGGTAACAGAGCCTCTTTCAAATTAACCTTCGGTACATTGTTTGTTCAGGATAGGACGTCTTTTTCAAACAGTCCGAGCGATCCAAACCAGACTTTAGACGTTCGGACCTTCGTTTTTAAACAACGTTCAACCTTCTTAGCCCTCATATCGGCCCTTCAAGTAGTCGCGATTTCGATACACTTCGTTAATCCTTCTCTTCAGTAAACTAGTACTAGTACAGTTCTGTATGTCGGTTTGTTTGTCGGCTTATTGGTCTCTTAGTCGGTCTACCCGAGCGTTTGAGCAAAGTGTCCCGTGACCGTCGAGCAGACTCGGATGATAAATCAGCGCCAGCAGAAGTGCATTCTCAAAGGGTAAGGAATATAACTTAGTACATCTGTGACGGGAGATCTATGGGAGGACAGCAACTAATAAAGGCTAATTAAAGGCGGGAGAGGAGGAGCTAATGGATTCGATGCAGTTTTCGTTTTGAAAGTGGAATCTTAAAGCTCAAGTTCATCGTGTAAGAATGTAACAATAGTTCAGATGTTGATAAGAGGTGACATAATCTGCAAACATTAGTAACTGCCGGAAGGTGGAATCAGTGGGGCTTTGATGTTTTAGTATAATGTCTATGTTCACTTTCAACGGGATCGTAGAGGCTAAGAGATAAGAGTGGTAAGGGTGAATGAGGATCACGAGAGAAGCTCACTGAGTTTGATGCGACCTACTACCTAGAAAAACCTTTCTAAAATTATGAATTTATGTGGTAAGGATCATATAAACCCCAATCTGATTTCATATTGATGTTACGTAGGATTGAAGACACACAATGGCCTATAACAGACATTTATTGAAGTGTTCCTATGATCAAGGGACACAATTTACGACAATTCTGTCTGTCAAATACACACGGGAACTCTTCGGAGCGAACCGTACAATAATTTATTAAAGCAATGATCACATAGTTACCATATCACCACCACCCGAAGTACCCGAAGTACCCGTGTCTGCTCCTGACGTTCCTGATGTTCCACCTGTAGTTCCACCAGTAGTACCACCGGTTGTACCACCAGTACTCATGCCCGAAGTATCACCGCTAGTAGTGCCACCAGTAGTTCCTCCCGTAGTAGTACCCATAGTTGATCCGCCTGTTGTACCTCCAGTGGTGCCCATGGTAGTACCACCTGAAATATATGAAACGTAGGTAAAAACAAAAAAGAAAGATTGAAATATAGACCTGTGGTGCCTCCCATCGTAGTTCCACCTGTAAAGTGTAAACAATGGATAAGTGTGAATTGGATAAGTAAAGGCAAACTCAGTTCGGGTGGATGACAGTCGAATGCTTTGAAAGTTTCAGGAAAAGGGACTAAGCTGGAGCCTTAGCATGTCAAGTCTTCATGAGACTCTCACCCAGTCATTGGTTCTTTACTCCATCTCTTTTTTGTGATAAATCGAACCCGTTGATAGGAAGTATAGAAGTCGAGGATGGATGGCTCAAGGCTTTCCATCTTGAGATTGTTGGGGCTCGCCCTACTTCGCCACCAGAACCCCAGGATTCGTTTCCCACGGGTCAAGGAATGCGCCGGCCTATCATCAACCCACTAACTACTCAAGTGGGTTCGACAATGCCTCATCTCCTGTATCCCTCGTATTCGTTGCCTCATGACTCATTATTCGACTGTCATAGCTCCTGTATAGGAAAGAATAGTTCTAAGAGTAAGAGTATGGTGCTTGAGAAGTTTTCATTGTTCTGGGTCAGACTGTCGGTTTGGAGACTACACGAGATAGTACCTATGGGCCGAAAGGGTAACTCACCGATGGTTGACAGGCCACCAACTGAAATCGAAATATTTTAGACCAAATACTTGTTTATTGGTCATGATGTCAAGAAGCAAAAAGAATGGAACGGAGTGGAAAGCGTAGTAGATTGAGACAAAACAAACCTCCACTTGTTGTGGTACCGAATGCGCTTCCTGTAACTCCTCCAGTAATTCCTGATGCATCGCAACCATATCGTTTGTACATTCCACGATACCTAAGGGATTGGATCATGTTGAGTTGAATGCTTAGGTTGAATTCCCGAATTCAATGCTACACTTTTTTCTCGGGAAGGAGAGTCTCAGGACGTTTGAAAGTGTTGAAAGAAATTTGCAATCGTTGAAAGTGACGCTTGACCTTGGAACACGAAACTCTTCCTGCTTTTTTCATTCGTAGCTGGGGTTCTAACCTAATAGTTCCGCATTTTTGTGCACCATATTTGTATTTAATTTGATTCTCCATGAGTTCGAAAGGTGATCGGAATCGTAGATCCTTTGATTCTTTGACTGTACATCCAAAGAAAGTAAGTTCTGAGCGGTTAGGGCTGCTTCAGCATTCCACTGACTAGCTCGCCTCGGTGAACAATTCGATTTTTGGGATTTTCAAAGAAGTCAGTGTGAAAAAGCCACAAAGGTCTGTGTATTGTAGACCTGTCACTTGAACTGGAGTAAATGCAGTTCATTCATAGAAACTATTCTTTCTCTTCGATCATCCATTGAGTTCCATTGAGTTATTTTACTTCAAAAAAGTAGGAATTGTTAGGGCTAAACCTATCAGCGTATCAGGTAAGTGAGCGCTGGTTTTGGAAATCATTGAAGTCCCTTCGCAGTGAATAAGTTGCTTCAACTATCAGCATCGGAGCCACTGCTCTTAGTGAACGCCTCAATGAGAGCACAGGAATAATCTCGTTTCCGAAGCTCAAATTGAGCGAACTTTTCACATAGACCTTTGTCTGACGTTTATTCGCACGAAGTCTGTTTCTAACGCTGAGTCGAAGACAATTACCCAATGTTCCATGACTACTTAAATTGATAACCTTCAACGCTAGTCCTGCTACTACCGTGGTCCCAAAAAACGCCTTTCTTGTTATACTCCGAGTCTACACCGAAGTGCTACACTGTGTTGTAGTAACTACTAGGCTACTCACCAATCCGCATAGACTGTGCGACGACCGAAGTAGAGCAGCGTGCCAGCGATAAGAAGAGCAACGAGGGATCCACAGAAGAATCCGAAAAACACCATCCAAATGAGCCATCCTGTTCGTGGTTTGGCAACTTCTTCACCAACGGTTTCTGAAAGTAAACGCTTCTGCTTTTTGTTCGTAAACGAAAACAGTCGTGCGATACCATAAAAAAAATTTTTGTACTAGTGTAGTTGCTACCTCGCCCACCTACTATTTACCGCAACGTAATCTACCACCTAATCTATTTTTATCGGGTGAAATTCTCCTGGAATCTCAATATCAGTGTCCCTTATGATCACTTTTCAGTCAGGATCTACCCACTCTATACACACAATCCTATACTCTTACTCGTTTTCCAGCATATTTACCTATTAATCTGGAACCCCGTCACATTCGTCCGAACACGATTCTGCCGAAGAAGTCGCAAGAAAGGGTTCTCTCCGAAAATGGTCGAGTATTGTAACGAATTGAAGGGAAAATTGTCCAATAAAAAGATACTGCAGTTTGGGAAACGCAAAGAAAGTGGCTTTAAGGAATTAGTAGTTTTTCGTATATGAAAACCGGACGTACGTAAGAATCCGAGGTCCAAGACCTGCTTCGGTGTTGTTGTACTGGGAGCTACAGCTGACACATTCGGCGTTGGTGGTTCCTAAATGTATTCTATGATGAAATATTGCAGTACAGTGAAAAGCAGTAAAGTCTGATAAACCTTTCCGTTCATTAGTTCCGTATTCTTTTGGCTGATTGAAGTTTAGAAAACTTGAATAAAATTCAGCCGAACTGGTCAGAGATGGGTAGGCATTCATTTTGTTTCGAGATGATTGAAAATGCGCTTTTTAAACTCCAATTGAAGTCACACTTCACGATAAAAATGGTCCGAAATTCCTACGATGAGCGGATGACACGCAATGATAGCATGTAGCATAAGTGGTGCGGTCGTGTGAAAAAAAATGACCTAGACAGGGCGTAAGAACCGCCCTAGTTGAGTAAACACCGAAGGTGGACGAGTTTTCACGGCGTTGTAGAGGCTGCATGGCTGCATCATTCCCATCGGGACCTACACACTGCACGTAGGCAGCTTACTGTAGCCCGCTGAGCACCCAAATCTGGACAGCTCGTTTAAATACCCCTTCCAACGCAACTTTTGCCGTCAAATTCTCGCTCACCCCTCATTGATACTTCTTTGAACCCTTATATTCTCTCTATAGGTCGATTTTCGCATTTTCTTCGCCACTTTTGCTTTGTCTTGGACTACCATCATTGTTTTGGACCACCTCCATTATTCGTGTAAAACTATAATAGATACCCAAAATTTTCTTTAAGTATGCCTTCAAGGAATAGTGACATAAGCATCTAGACTACCTTCTCATAATGGAACCATTTACGGTTTTTTGTAGTAGTGTTAAGTCAAGAATTGATGAAGTCGTGGTAATAATTCGTGCCCACCTTAGCAAATTTGAGGTTACTTGGAAACGCAGCTTCTCGTTAAGTGAAAACGAAGCTCTATGAGCCCGAATCTACGCAATTCTAAGGTTACAGTAACTACTTAAGAAATTAGGCCCTGAACTTTGAATCTTTAGAAAGACCATTTCTTATATGGTCAAAAAAGTCGTGCATGTCCCATGAATTCTCCTCTACAACCCAATCCTAGGTAATGTTCTTTCGAAGAATGTCGGGCGGAAAAATTATTGATGAGGGTGAAAGCCAAGGCATCCATGTGCGCGGTGACCTACTTCAGTGATGTCATAGTGGTGGCATATCTTGACCCATTCGACCCCTCATCCTCATTTGTGACCCCTCATCTGATCAGTTGACATAACTCTTCTGTTGTGGATTCCGCGACAGAAGCCCGACCTCGTCTACAATTTGCTCGATTTGTTCTGTATTTGACTGATCATGTCTCAAAAAATATCGTAGAGCATAAGAGGATCGATAGAAATGGACTTGACTTGTGCCATTTGCCATCGGATTCTTTTACCCAGACTATCTCACGAGTCAGTTTCACTTCATCCCATCTTCCCGCCCGTGATCAGTCGGGTCTCTCCGACCTGGTGCTCCTCTTCCTCTATGTTGTACTCAGTGATATCACCTCAGGGTTCAGGAACGCCCCTCCCTAACATGAGGCAGATTAGGTTGACATTCAACGGCTTTAGCTCTTGGCGTCGTTGAATTGTTGAATCTTCGTCCTTGAATCCCTGCTGGATTCGTATCAATCTATTCAAATGACCATGCCTTCTCAGTACTTCGACGGATTCGCAATTCTGCCCTAACTACATACTCAGTGCGCATATAATTCTTTTTGCTGATTTCTCACCTGAGGAACTCTCCGGTTTTCTTTTTCAGTGGATCGCTAATGCGTCCTTTCCCTTTCGTTATTCTCTTACCTATGCCTCGTTTTTTTCTATTCCGATTTTTCGAAAGTTATTTCAGACTACACATTCCGTCTATGAAAGCTGATAAAGAAGAAAGCGATCGCCTTCAGGACGAGGAGGTTGGTCGACTTTGAAGTTCACTGCTTGGCCTTTCGAATGGTACCTGGCAGTCATTCGTGCTGTTGCAATAGATGATTAGTTTAGAACACTTATTAGAATACTCACGAAAGAAGTTGGACTCTTCAAGAAAACCACCTAGCTTACTAAACCACAAGTGCCCATTTGTCTGTTTGTTTGCCTGTCATCACCTTATTTGGCGGCTCCCAAAAATTGAACTGTAACATCTAGGCTGGAACAAGTCGAGCTAGTTGGGAACACGTGAATGGGCTGAGCACTGCCTAAAAGAGGCGTGGCGTGCGCAAGAAGCGTGTTCTGCGTGCGATATATAATTCCATTTTCGTGAGGTAAGACTGTCCAGGTCTGAAAGGGATACACATGGTAGAATGGGGACTCAGATAGTATGTGGGAGACTGGATTCCACCCAGTAGGTGAGAAGGTGTACAAAAATTGCTCTCTTAGAGCTAGATGGCAACTAGTGGCTGGTGACGGGTGTAGACTCCGCCCATAGAGGCGGAGCGCGCACAAAAATGGATCCTTTACAGCTAGAGTGGCCGAATACCTTACACGTACCGTGCTTTTGTTTCTCTAAATGATTATGGGTTTGGGACGTGCTATTCAAGCTACCTGATGTCACATTGAGAAGTTTGACCTTGCTAGATCTTAGCATGTAAAGTTCAAAATAAGAAACACATTCGTGTGTTTACTGAGAGGAAAGAACATACCGTGCCCAGTGTAGGAGGTTTTGATTTAGGAGCTGCTGTCCCATATGAGGCTGATCCTTCTTCTCCTGTGGACACACCATCGATCGGTTTGTTTTTGTCAATCTGGTATACAATGCCGTTGTTGGTACCCTGCAAGAGCGACTTCAAACCGTTAAAGTCGCGAGTCCCAAGTTAATTATGCCAATAGGAACCAGTTGTTTGATCCCATATTGTTTGATCAAGCACTCGTGATGAGACAAGTAGATAATGATCGATCCATCGTGACCAAGGTCTCTGCCAGACACTACAACTTCTCGCGAAACTGACCATACAGCGAACTGAAAAAAGTAATGATTTATGTGGAACTTGATTATGCGAAAACACTAAATTTTTACAAACCCTCTCTCCATCGAATTCGAACCCAATTTGTGTTGGACGGCTTGTCAGAGCATCTTTCCCAGTGCCCTTGGTGGCCTTCACGAGTCTGATTGGAACTCCATTTCCTAATGAAAGTATTTTAAAGAATCGGTCGCCGAAGTGATCATTCTCTATGTATCCCGAGGAATCAGGGTGGAGCAAAGCGAAATTTGCTTGGTTGACTTTTGGATAAGACCGATTCTACTGTTAACATGCAAAGTTTGAGAGATGAGAGTAATCGAAAGGAGTATTTTGAATCTCACATAATAAAGTGACAAAGGTAAAGTATGAAGTTTTTGGCCCTAATCAATCCCGTCCGCGGGATGCGCCCCCGCACTCGACTTCCATTCGGAATGAGTGCGTATGTGTCCTATACAATGACTTACGGTGGCCGGCCGATGTAAAAGTCAATGCTATTATCCTCCCAAACGAGTCTGGTACCAATCAACTGAACCCGGGGGGTGGAAGGCTTGGTTGGCCTCGGCGTGTATCGGTCCAGGATTCGAACTCCTGACCGTACGAGTGAGATAGTGCGCCACTTGCCACTATACCATCACATAATGGGTTCATTTTCCATTTGCATCGCTAACATTAGTCGTTGGACTATATTTCCGCGACTGTAAATTTTGCCTAAATGTAGACGGTTGTAAACTGAGAAAAATTTGATGGTCAAGAATTTTATCCCACGCTTACAAGGCTTTATGTCTGCGTCCTAAAAGAAAGACCAAATTTGGCACGGGTCGGGATGAGACTTTAAGGTTTAGGAAATGTCAATATTTAGGAAATACGGGACTATGGATACCAATTTCAGTGCTGAACATATGGGAAGTGATCCGAGCCTTAATTAGTTTGGTGCGTTCAGCCCTGATAGGTATTTCTTGAAGGACCACTCGGGGAAGCCAGACCAGATTTGGCAGTGGTTGGGATGATCTCCCAAATATTCATGTAATTGTGACGTAATAATGGTAATTATTATTATTGATTTCTGCTCACTTGCACCAGGCATCGTGACAAATCCATATCTCGTATATATGTTGATAAGGTCCACGTCATCACAGGTCAGCTTATTATTGGCGACACCGTTTTCCCCATTGACGCAAATTTTCATCCTAAAGTATGGGCAAATCATGTATGGGGCATCGTAACGTCATTGATATTTGAAACTTTAAGCGGACTGTCTGCCCGCATTCCTTCCTGTAACAAGCTTCTACGAAGTTGGTTAACCTTTTTTTCTTTGAACCAACTATTTTTCTCTTTCTTTAGACCTAGACCAATTTCTCACTAGCGGCTAATTTTCCTGCAAGTCTCAAATCCATCGAACCTAACTGCAGCCGTTATTTTCGGGTCAGATAGTCCGATGGGCCAAGAAACAGGTACATCAGGTCTTTGACCTATACAGTAGCAAATTATCATCAGTTTTTCATATTGATATCCACGGGGCATGAGTTCAAATTATATGAGAGTCAGACGGCTTTTTCTGCCGCCAGTGCTGGATTCCAAAGGGATGAAGCATGGTCTGCTTCGTAGAAGGTATTTCGCGAACGATAGTCGCTCAACGAGTTGTGAATATCATCGGAGAGCGTATCTGGTGTGAGATTCTACGAATCAAATCTTGAGAAGCATTCTAAGCTTTGTGGATATGCGTAACCGCTCAAAGAAAACAGTGAATCTGAAAGAGTCGGACTAACAGAGTTGGAGCCCTTGCTGCGCTAGTTCCCTACCGTATTTCGTAGTTACCCCGTCAACTTCTCGGGAACCGAATTCCTTTTATGTTTCATTCGGAGTGTTCATCGCCTCTCTTTTGATAAAGTATTGTTCAGGCTGCCGAAGATTCCCGCAGCTTTTAACGAGAAACTGGTAACTGAAGTAATGGTTTAAGAAGGTATATGTGCTTGTGCTGATATACGAGTGTGCGTCAACCCCATGGAATCTTAATAGGTAATTTGTTACTTCAAAAGCACGAAAAACGGACAATCGCAGTTCTATGTAAAAGAAGAGATAGTTAATGGGGTATTTTGCGCGAAGCTCTCGTAAAAATCTGTGAAGAGACACTCGGTATTCTTTGAATATCTTCTGCAATGGCTACTGTAAAACATATTAAGTTTCACGTACCATTCACATTTTGTTCCATCAATGAAGATCTTGGAGTAGAAAAACATGTTCGGTTTCATGCGGTATAGGAAGACCTGCCCAAGATCGCATCTAAATTTCAATATGTTATACAGTGGGAACAATATACTATACTATACTTGTGGGCGACAATACCAAAAGTCACACATCGATTTTAGATGACGATAGATGTGACGGTAAAGTACACGATATTTCACATTATTGCCTCAAAACGGCCTAGTTGAGGCGTAATGAGGCCACCGGAATAGGCATCGCCATTGTCCTCACCCAAAGGCGGACGAGTTTCAACGGTGGACGTTTGATTCGTGCGATTCCGAGTGCGCGCGGCGAAATTCACGACGATTCAAACAAATCCTGCGCCAATCATTGGGGCACAAACTTGAAGTAGAGTACTTTAGTAGGGTCGGGCAATCGTACTAACCAACTTTACTTCAAATTTGAACCCCAATGATAAACGCTGCAGTCGTCCAAATCGCACCGAATTTCGCCGCGCAATTCGCCGCGCGCACCCAGAATCGTACGACTCGACGCACATTCGTTTCAACGATGCTGCGGTGATTGCAGGCTGCATCATCCGTAATAGACATCCAAGTTGGGCACTTAAGCATCTACTAGTGACATATGGCGACAGTGAACATCTTTTGCTTAGTGTAGAATGACAGCTATTTACGCAATTACGGTACAGAAACCCCTTCCAGATGCCCCTTTCGTGACATTTCCGTCATGGTGTTCTCGTACGACCCCCTATTCTCACTTCTTTTCGCGAGCCAAGCAGACTTTCTCGCTTACTTCCTCGGTGTGCTAATATTTCATTTCCATGACTTGGGCCTGATCGCTGCTTGGTTGCCTGTCGAAATTGCCCTAATATTTTTTGTTGCCAGTCATGGCTAGGACAACCTTCTAAGCAGCCAAGTCAACATTACGGAGCACTGACCTGGGGAGGCCAGCATTGTTTATGCAGTACCCTATTTTCGAATTGATTCCAATTGGATTTGTGGGCTTTTCTTGGCCAAATTGGAAGGCCTAACGATCATGTTTGATAAATACGTATGTACGACCACTGATACGATCGTTGAGATAAGTACATATTCACTCGACAATAATACATAGTGGTCGTACCGTATCTATGATCCTTGAAAGGCTGAGCTGGGAAATTCAACTAGGGGTGAGATCTTTGGAGCTTATACTTTTGATTGATGCTGGCTGGCATAAGTTAGGTACAGAGTTTTTGACAACGAACCTCCCAATTCTTATTCATGCAGGTGCAAAGAACCACTCAAATATGATTACTATAAAGCTGGTGCGGAAGACTGCTTTCATAGTCCGCCGGCGTGCGTGGCGGCGTGCCGGCGTGCCAGCCGAGGCTGTGCTAAGGGGGAGGAGAGAGGCAGACCGTCGGTCGACGCGGTCGCGTCACGCCCAAGCCCCTTCGATGGGCTGTAAACAAGGAGAGACAAGATCAAAAACCATTCGCACAAGCCCCTGGTTGTTTGGTTTTTGATCTTGTTCTTTGTTTTCAGCCCTTCGACCGACGGTCTGCCTCACTCCTCCCCGCTAGCACTGCCTCGGCTGGCACGCCGGCACGCCGGCACGCACGTTGGCGGACTATGAAAGCAGCCGAAGTCGTGAGTGTCGTCGCTTCCCTTCAAAAACCTTTGCCGCTTGTGAACCTTCACCTCATTCCAGTGAATACGGACGTGAACGCTGGACTGTGGACGCTTCTCTTGGAGATCATTTTGTGATCGTCGAGGGATCCACTCTGAGCAATCGTGTTTCACGAATGGCTGCTTTCATAGTCCCCTAGCCGGCCCGCGAGCGCGCGCGCTGGCCGGGGAACTACTGTGTCCTGCGGTCCTGAACCTGCGGTGTCGATCAAAACTCGGGGATAACGGAACTTCTCTCCGGTTGTGGACGTTTGCTTTGCGACGTACGGCAAATCTTATTGCAATTACCGTACTCATCACGCCTACCCGCCAATCGATAGGACGCGGTATTTTTCGTTGATTGCCTCTCTTTTTTGTTGGTTTTGATCGTTTTTTCTGTTTTGTTCGTTTTTATGTTTATTAGACTTGATTAATTAGAATGACTTCTGCTATATTAGCGACGATCAAGACCGCAATGGGATTGGTGGGAGTGGTCAGCCAGTTCAAATAATTAAAGGACTCTCTACATCACGAATTGCGCGCTCCAATCTTCCATCGCAACCCTGCGATACGCGGCAGTTGCGGTGTGCGCGACGCCGTTTTCAGGGGGAAGATACCGGACCCAGGATTCAGTTCATAAACAAGGGGCAAGCGCCGCTCGCGGCCGGCAGTCTATAAAAGCAGCCAATGGCGCCGCGGCTGCAGTGCCGCTGACTTGGTTATCAATCAGTTGTTCATTTGCTTGCTGAAATTCTGAAAATAGGGCGTTCGATGAATAGTCTCGTCCGTTCTTCCGACTTCATAGCATTGGAGGCCTTCGGTACCTTTACGAACAGGGTTCAAGAAAGTACTTGCTCGATGGGTCTGCACCAGCTGACTGACAATGCGTATCTTAGTCACCCTGTCACTCATCCACACCGTCAATCGGGAGCTTTTGTAGGATTGGTGACGGAGCATAAGAGCTGTATCCTCTATAATAACAGAAAAGGAGTCACTGCATATTTCCAAACAGATTCGCTTGTGCCCAATCGAGAAAATCATTTGAAAAAGTTGTTGCTGTGCTGCTTCCAGGACGTAGTGATGTATACTAATATTGAGCCAAAAAGAAGTTCGTCTATGTTGGAGACCTCGAAATTGCTGTGGCCAACTTTTTTGACGTCAAAAAAAATTCGATCGGAGTTTCGTAACCCCGTCCCCGTGAACCTAGAGCGTTCAAATTTGGTAAGGGTACAGGCGGCAAGACAGGATACTGATACTAGGTGATAGAAAGTTGCTGAGCTGGATACCGCGTCCGAGGAGCGTAGGGTCATGTATAAAGGCGTGGATAAAATGCGCGTAGTCGCGTTGTGAGTAAATTTGCGCAATCGAGTAGAAAAAAGAGGAATGAACCAAGAGACCCAAACACACATAAATTGAGCAGGACCCCGCTCATGTAGAGCGAAGCGTTCACGAAGTCAAGTTGTGTGTGTTTGGCCCATGTTTGCATGTTATAATACATCGAAAGGTGCAGGGCCCATCGTTAGCCGAGCGACCCGACTGGTGGTGAATACATGGGCTAATGAGCGATAGCTTGAATAAGTTTATGAAAAATGTTTACATCATGCATCCGAGTGCCTTTATGTTGAATGAAATAGGGCTCGAACTTGACGTTGAGACGCTTTTCCAATTGTAGAATTTTTTTCAAGCATTACAGTAAATAACACATTAATCTCAATAGATTGAATGCAACTTACTTCGCTTTGCATTCTATGTATTTCAGTGTATTAACCCCTTTGTGAAGGTCTCCACCGAATGTGAGATGTCTACCTCCTCGATATTGTTTCTAAAAAATTCACTGTAACAATTTAAGGTCAAATGTGCACTTTATAGATCAATTCTGATATTCATCGCTTTTAAAGGAAACTTGCTCATTCCTTTAAAGGATTGGAGATAGAAATTAGCCTTTCATCTTTGTGATGAAGACTTGACCGTTCAAAACTCTTCTTCTCGATGTTTTCCCTTCCCCATGTACGTACTTCTACTTGTACTCAAAACATTTCATGTTTTGAGTAGTCACTGAACCTGGGGTAGGGCTTCTTACCCTCTGACCTAGATTTTCAGTGTAGCTTTCAGTTGTGTTTATTGTGTCCAAAATGAGAAGGGATTGGGTTTGTGCTTGTGAACTGTTACTGTTACTGGGCTATATCACTCAGCGACAACAGATCTCTTCTCATGGACGGCGTTCAGTTTCGTTCAGCTGACTTTTTTCCAGCGACTTCCACTTTCCGACTTTAGCCTTTCCCTTATGCAAGAAGCATGCTACTTCGCTCCACTAGACCCCGCCTTTCATTTTACGTACTGGCTCTTATAAGGTCTCCTCAGCAACCTAAGGTTGGCTTTTTGAACCATACAAGGTGGTCGAAAGGTAGATGAACTGTTGAGAACTACATTAAATTCAAAGTGGTATATTTCATTCTATGTGAACAGATTTGAATCAACATTAATTCCATCTCACTGAAGAATTTGTAGCGTTGTGACGATGCTACATGGTGCGACCCCAGGTAGCAAATAGCGGGACCAAGTCACAGGTAAAAACAGAGACGCCGGTTGATCAAGGAGATAGAATCCCTGGTATGATGCACATTGGTCAGCCAAAAGCTCGCATTTGAATGACTGGGAATGTAATCCTGGATGGTGCAACCTTAGTCCTCTCTGGGAAGCTTGGCTAATTGGTACCATAAGGCAAAAATAGTAACAGAAATGGGCCTCATTCTCATGGGCCTGTGGGTTTCTGCAATGTTGCGTAGGTTAGATTCTGAAAGGCTGACCAAGGTGAAAATTTGATTGAGTCCTTACTATTGACTAAAGTACGATCGTTTTGGATAGAACCTAGTCAACCGACAACAACCTAAGATTTTCAACTAGTGGTCTGTCCGTAGAGAAAGGTAGCTCCATTGATAACGGCACTCATCTCTTGACAACATTTATGAGTACCATTCATGGCTTTTGTTGCTTATCAGTTATACTCCTAATGGGTCACTGTTTTTAGGATGAAAGGCAATAGATTGAGACTCGTTATGTTATGTTTATTCCGCTACTAAGGCAAACCTAATGTGAAATGACTGATATACTTTTTGATGGCCAACTTCTGATCAAAGGCATGAGCATACTGTATACCTTGCACTGCCTTTAACTCCTGTGTCAATCTCTTGTCCAGAAAAGTATCGCTTTTCTTAAAGAAGGAATGGCGGGTTAGACGATAATTACAAATTTGTCATGTGAAGGAGTGGAGACCAGTGTTAGTCGGGCGGAGGATGTCCAAAATTATGGGGTGCCGATTCATGGCAGTGCATTTCAAAATTCTTTGCTGAGAAAGATAAAGGAATCTATACATACATTTGCTAACATTATTTGCTACAACATACTGCGATCACATTTCAAAATATCTATTTCGTAAGGACTTTTTACTCAGTGGGAAGTGAGATAGCAATTTCTAGTCAAAACTTTTGGCCCTATACTGTCTGTTGAGGTCAGAAATGAAGCGACATTTCTGCATACAATAGGACCGACAATAAAGTTTTCGCTTGACCATTCGCTTTACCGACAACCTCGACGATATTTGCTCCTTTGCCGTCTTTTGAGGGATCACCTAGGACCACGATCGACTTGCGAACGGACCATTTCAGTAGTCCTACTTTCAGAAAGACTGGCCTTTCTACCCCTTCCTGGTTTGTCTTTTATTGAGTCTTCTTCTCTGATAGTTTAGTAGCCATAGCGATCGTACAGATGCTACATGTAGGAATCACAGGGAATTTCTCAATACCGTTCTGCTCCTCGCACGGCAAAGATTACAAATGGCACTGAAGGAACTCCAGCCATCTAAAAGATCTGCGGCTGGCGCAGCGTTCTCGCAGTTGCCTGGACTTTCGTATGAGTTCGTAACTCGATCCAACGGGGGCATGGGAGGCAGGAGAAAAAATAAAAGGCGTGAGGAAGTCCTGCATGCTATTCATGCATAAACCTGCGCCCACGATGGGCGGGGCCTCTGTCTAGGGGGAACTACTTTTTGAAAACATATGACTCTGTACAAAAGTGCTCTGTAATGCGGAAAAAAGTTCAGATGTCTTAGAATAAATGTCAAAGCCCTGGAAAGGGTCGGCGTGCTAAGGTAGGCAGGGCTGGAATCGAAAGCTCATGACTTTCCCCAAAAAAAGTTCCGGGATCCGGGAAAAAGAGCTCAGAGGTAAAGAAGAGATATGGCCAGATGTTTAAAGTGGACGGGATTTGCACTAAGGTGGGCGGGACATGCCAGGGGAAGGTTCCAACTTTCTTAAAACTCGGAATAGTGCCATAAATATATTGATAAAGTATGGAATGCTATTCGCAAATGCAGAAATCGAACTGCTGAATGAACCGCCCCCAGCTTAGAGCAAGCAAATTTTGAGCGCTCACATTTTTGGGAGACACATTATTTGTGATTAACGTTCCTCAAAAGTTTGTAGCACTGTTCTAGAATGGTGAAAGATTGGTGAGAGATAGTAGATGAAAAGTGGTCATATCTTTGAAATGAACGAAACCTTTTCCAAAAAGTCGAAACCGTAAAGAATTAGCAAAAGCTTGGAGTAGGCCAACAAAGCAGATGAAGGAGGCTCGTCCGCGGTGAGTCAACCGTCTCCGAACGTTTTGCCCAAATACTCCACATCCTGCAGCCAAATCCGAATGAGGTGGAGCTTACAATCAGATCAAAAAATTCATCTCTGATTGACACGTTCTTTATTGTAATGCACGGCTTAGTGTGCGGAGCCTTACTGGTCATGAAGTAGAGCACAACATCGTCAATCGAAAGTTTTGCTTACCTGACGTCGTTGTTGCTCCTAAGTTCTGCACGGGATCGGACCATTGTCTCCAGACGCAAGATTCTGCTTTCAATGCACAGAAGAGCTTCAAAGTTGGCAAACGAATACTCACGACCTTTACCTATTGCGATCACTTCGCTTTTCTTGCCAGATCGTGGAGATCCCGTTATCGACAACATCGATGAATAGCATAACCGGCTTATCGGTCATCCTTACGATATTACGCCAAGGAATCGAACACTAGCTAGGCCGGGGAGGTCGTGCGTTATTGTGATGACGTAGGATCAAGGCGGTCACTGATTAGATCCCTCGAGATCAAACGAATACTACATAGAACAACCACCAGCGCGATGATCAGACTTCTTCGCGAAAGTTCTAAACGAAAAGAATGGAAACGCCTGGTAGTATTGGCTTCCGCACAGGTGAATCGATAGCTAGAGGGACGACCTGTGACGGGTGAATGAAATGAATGATTTTCATCGGGCTGAAGTGTCAAAGCAGAACGAATGAGCGGTCTCCCCTCTTTTCTGCTCCTAATCAAGGTTGCGGGGACGCAAGAGCCCCACAACCTTGATTAGGAGCACAAAAGAGGGGAGACCGCTCATTGTGCTGTCCTCGAGAAGGATCCCATAGCTGAAGGAATCGCACTGATCACAAGTTACTTCAAAAAATCACATTTCACCGTCTAGTGGACTTCGATAAATAACGGTGAAAGCAAGATTCGCCGCAAGGAATGGCGCCAAAAAGGAATTGATAGCAAAAGATGAACAGTCCTTCTCTTATGTGAACAATTATGGAAAAGGTGGGAGCATGATTTAGTGCGCTCTGTGTGACTACAACAATAGCGTATCTGCTGATTGCTCGTAACCGCACTCGCGAGATCTTCTAGTATGAAAAGAGATGTTTCGATGGTGAGATTCGGGCTCATAAAGCGTATGCATAGACGCATGATTTTTAAAAAGTCTAGAGAAGGTGGTCTGAACACGAACAAATGCTCGTACAGCTACTATGACGCAGCGTCGTGCTGCTTCCGTTCATAGCCCTCTCATAGACCTTCTCTCTGATCCCTGAAGGGGGAATTCTTTCTGTAGCGCTCTCTCTGAAATAAATACACCTAGATTCTCGCTCGTAGTCCACCTGACGCAGTTCAAGTCACTTCTCGGTCTCCAAGATAGTGAGCAATATGTCACTGATATTGACGTGATGTCTATGCAATAACACGTTGAAATGTCGTTATTTCATATAAATGAGTTACCGATAGCGAAGTGCAGTAAGCAGTCATCCGACACTCATTTTTCCACACTTCCCCTTTTACTGATATGAATATGATAAAAAAACGCTCCCAACTACTCACCCTTGTGGTGTACAAGGCAGGCTGTAGGTAGAATCCTGGATATTTTTTCAGTATGTCCCTCATCACTTTGTTTTTGTTTTGAAACCTGGAATACAAAAGTTCGCTTAGCTTTTCAAGTTTTACGGGAGTTCAGAGACTTTGGGGTCAAAAAAGCAGTCTCAGCTTAATTTCCACTCTGAGGTTTGCTCACAGCTCTTCGTTTGACATTCTAGAAATATTTTCATCGTACGTAAATAAACAAATATACAGGGTGCGCCATAAATATGGTAACAATTTTTCGGACGTTGGTAATTTCCTTGTTTGGAGGGTTTTCCCATATCTGACCTTCCATTACGTTTATAGTATACCTTAGCCCACATATCTACTTTGGTGCTCTCAAATCGTCAGATTTCGAAAAACGGTGGGGCCTCGTAGACATCCACCAACCGTTACGTCTTTGCGCGCATTTGGTGAGTCCTCTCCCGGAATCCCTCCTCGTTTCAACATTTCCCACATGAGAGTCTCTTGAATCGCGATGCGTAGACAGGTCAACGACGAACCTCAAAACGGTCGTTTTGTCTCGCATACGACCCCTTTTCCGAACTCGGAAAGAAGTACGCTGCGAACCTGCAGAAACACGAGAAAAAATGACTGCTGATTAGCTTGTACGTTCTACTCCGATGACGAGAGACTAACCCGAGTACATACATTGTATCCGTATAGGATTCGAAGGCCTCATAAGTTTTTCGACGTGAGGGAGGTGGAGAGAAAAAACAAATGCGGTGCGCTACTTGCGCGCGGCACGCGCTTCGCCACACATGTTTCTGGTTAAAGGGTGTTCAGCGCGGAAAAAATGTTGAGATCCTAGAGTATACGTATATTTCACTCTGCGAGTGGTGAAGCCGCTGAGAGAGTCAGATCGCCTCTCGTAGCTGTTTTCCCTCATTCTTGATGGTTTGAGCTGGTATCTCTACCGTCAGAGCGATATCGCAAAATTTAGACAAGAAAAGTACGAANAGAGACTAACCCGAGTACATACATTGTATCCGTATAGGATTCGAAGGCCTCATAAGTTAAGTTAAGGAAAAAATGTTGAGATCCTAGAGTATACGTATATTTCACTCTGCGAGTGGTGAAGCCGCTGAGAGAGTCAGATCGCCTCTCGTAGCTGTTTCCCTCATTCTTGATGGTTTGAGCTGGTATCTCTACCGTCAGAGCGATATCGCAAAATTTAGACAAGAAAAGTACGAAATTGAAGCCAAACCTCTTCAACAAGGGTTTTTCTGAAAGGTTGCAGCTGATGGCCAAAGATTTTTCATGGGATATGTTTTGAAAACTACGGCTCACTCGCTCTTGAGTGGGGAAAAGATCAAGAGTGTTGCTGGGAAAATGCTCGCGGTTTTGTCCCAGCTTCCAATCCTTCTACGAACTTCCCAAACCCCAATTTTATAGGTAGCTGGATATAGTCCATACTGGAGAGGAAAACCTGCGCTTCAAAACACACTACTGTTGCTGCTCCTGAAAAATCACTGAAAAAAGCCCGGGCTGGAGTTTTTCAAAACACTCGGCGTGTCACCGACGATAAGTAGCCGAAGCGTCTTCGAGCTATAACTAGTACAGGAGAAGGTTATATAAGATCACGTTGTGTTTTTTTTTGTAGATGCGATGGCTAGTGAATAACTCACATGAGTTCAGAATGTATCAATAAGAACTGCGGTTTTTGCAGCCCAACTCTTTTGTTACCATATTTATGGCGTACCCTGTATATAAATATCTAAAGTGATCAGGCGCTTATTCCACAGCTACGTCGTGTTGTTGCAGAATCTGATCATCTAAGTAGTTTTGAGAAGTACAAGTAGTTGCTACTTTTCTTCTTTAGGATTCCCTATCAAGGAAACAGTTAACGCCGAAAATGGTTTCTGAGATTTCTCTCTCGAATGAACTTGTGACCACCAAAGATAGCCTAAGGGATGCCGTCGGGTCGAAAAACGGCTAGGACGCGGCGTAGTGAGAGCCTCAAAACCGGCCTAGCAGACGTGCAGACCGAAGGGGACGAGTTCTCAAGTATTGCAAAAGCTGTAGAGGTTGCAGCATTCGCACCGGAACGCAGACATTGCATCAACGAGCTCACTGTAGCCAGCTGTATGCAGTGGCTCGCACACTTGATCGTTCAAATACCCCTTTCATGCGGCTTCTGCTCCTCCATTCTCCTCTAACTCTCATACCTCTTTTTTGAAGCCTTTTGTTACTCTGAACACGCCGATTTTCGCGTTTTCTTCACCTTTTTGCACTATTCTGGACTATCCCTTACATCACCCGTATAAAGCTAAGTGCCCTAAAATTATCGCGGATTGTGACTTCAAGTCATTCTACGGTACGTTGCAACAGACTCTGTGAAGTCAGCCTATACTGCCGCTTCTGCGAGGTCATTAAGAGCGCTGTTCGCATTCTTGTCATATCACAGGAAACGCGCAGCAATCGAGGGATTCCTATCTAATCCTATAGGATTTCCGATATAGAGCTGTTTTACAGAAATGCAGCAGCCCACATTTTCAGAAATGTGGGAGCTATCGCTTACCCTCTGGATTGATATTGTCTTCTCTATAGAAGCTCTGCTCCGTTCAAAGGTGGTCTACCCACAACATATACAGTGCATCTCCAAATGATACAGCTACCCCTAATTTCGCCGAAAACTAACAGTATACGATGTTTCTGAAAAAGTGCCAAAGTAAAAAATGTGTCAAACCTGAATTGCAGTTCGCACATTATTACCAAATTCCAGTTCGGAAACAGAGATTTTTTTTGGTCAGTTTTTCCGGGAAGCGTGCTTCTCCATCTTCTCCAAATGATACAGCAACTTCATGTCTTCGTATCACGTTTTAGAACAACGCAACGAAATCGCGTTTTTTGTGTAATGTCCTCCATTTTCAGGCAGCAGTAAGAGGAAAGCTGCTTTTGAAATTTGGGAAAGGTCAAACCCTCGCGAAAAAGGAGCAGGCACTGTCGAGTCCGCAGATTGCGCGAGGTTTGGGTCCATGTAAAACAGTTGTGGATAATTTCATCGAGAATCTTGAAGCCTATGGAACCAGAAGAAGTGCTGGATATCGTTCGTTGCTATCCGGCAGAGACAAGCGCCGTATTTTGAGGAGAGCGTCGAACTCCACCAAGTCCTGTATGGAAATTCGATCGTCTCCGAACCTCAATGTCTCAAAAAACAATGTTTGGAAGGTGATCAGACGGTCCAAGCTTATCGTCAAGAGGAAAATGCGTGAGGCGCTTTTATGACAAAAAGACATCGAATAAATGGGATCGCATTCACCAGAAGGTGCAGCCGAACCGATGGAATAAGGTGCTCTTTAAGTGCTGATACTTAACCTTCCTTCCTTTGATGGTTTTTCTCTAAGGTGTCTTTTTGTCTTCAATTGTGATGGTCCAAACGGGAACCGATTTTACTGGTACGAGTCAAGAAAGAAAAAACTTCATTTTTCTAGATGGAACTTCAGGGGAGGAGGAGTCATGGCTTGGGCCGCGATTTCGTTTATATTTTGCACCAAAAAAGATAAACTCGCCCTTTTGTAGAACTATTATGCGCCGCGCATTTCTCTCTTTCTGGCGTTAGAATCGGCACCAAAATCTTCTTTTTATGCAAGATAACTTCTCTTGGCATCGGGTTGCACTTCTACCCTGACCGGCGAACAGCCCCGATTTGAATCCGACGGAAAATGTATGTGGCTTCATTGTGCGGAAGATTTACGCTAAAATTTCCACAATTCCGAGGCGTCAAGTAGTCGAAAAAAGCGATCATTGAAGCATGGCACCTAGTTGACCAGGAGCAGGAGGGGTTGACCAGGAATTTTCATTTGAGCCTAGACCACAGTATTTTCAGAGTAACTCGAAAGATTACTGAGCCAACTGATTATTAACTTTACAACTTTCTCTCCTTGTATGTTTGTTGCTAAATAAATTAATTTTGTTGGTGGCTGTATCATTTGGAGACGTTGGAAAAGCACCCTTTACTGAAAAATTTACCAAAAAATGTTTCTGTTTCCGAGCTGGAATTTGGTGATAATGTGCGAATCGCAACTCAGATTTGACACATTTTTCACTTTGGCACCTTTTCAGAAACATCGTATACAGTGAGTTTTTGGGAAAACAGAGGTGGCTGTATCTGTTCGAGACGCACTATATAACGTCTAGCTTTATCAACCAATTGGTTGTTCGTTTTTTTCGAATTTTTTCTGGATGTCTCCATTATCGTCATTCATCGCTATGGCTTCATCTTTCAGATCTTCGTGTGGGAATTACTCATGTGAAAGTGGTCAGCGTAAGGTTCCAAATCTCAGGTGAAAGCCATATTCTCCTGATCTGAACGGCCCGAAAATTTGAAGGTGCAAAAAACATTCCTCCTGCACTCACCCATTCTCGAGGCTACTGTGCTATCTGTGTCGGTCCACCTCCAGACACTTGGATGTTGCGTATGCCTACACTGAGGATCACCGCTCTGACCAGGTAACATTCCTCGGTTATCGCCAGTATTAAAAGTACATGGGGAAATCCGTAGTTTGAATTCTGTCAACGAATGATGGTCAGGGATTCAGCCTTATATGTCAACGATCAGGTAGGCCGCAAAGGCCATGTAATTTTGTAATGTTATTGACTGGGTCCCGTGCAACGTCATACGATTATAAAGAACGCATTGACTCGATATTCTTGTTCGGAGAAGCTTTAAATGAAAGAAGCAATTTTCTTGGTGTTCCTCGAGCGGAGAAAGCGTTCATTGACTCGCAGTGACGACCGAATTCGTCACTGCGAGTCAATGAAACGCTTTCTTCACTCGAGGAACAGGCATGCCTGTGAAAATATGCTGGTGGTATTGTCTACCATCGTTTTTCAGCGAATCTTGGATGGGATAAATAATGTTCTCTTCGGTCCATCTAGCCTTCAAATGTCACAACGCAAGCACCACATGAGTTAAAACGTTAGCACTAAAGATTGTGTAGATTCGTTTCTCATGGGGCATTTGAGCAAAACAATACCAATTCGACTTCACGATTTTAATGTGTGTTAGGCAAAGTGACCAAAGCCCTGTAATAGGCAAAATTCGCGATCACCTGTGTTGCATATCATGCGGTCCTCCGAAAGAAATCTTACATCCCGGATCATGCGTGAATACGATCTCTCCTTCTTCAACCTAAAGCTTACTTGTGATTTAGTACATACTGTAGAAAGTATTTACGATAGTACGAAGTTTGAACATGCTTTGATGGTTGATTTCGGGTTTCCTTGTTGTCCACCACTAGTGATGACTGCTTGCCCGATTGGGAAGTAGAGTTTGATCGAGCTTGTGTCACATATCTCGAGACCCTTTCCAGGTTTGCAAACGATTATCCTTAAGTTATATATTTCGTGCCAGTATTATCATAAGCATAATTTGATGAAAAAAAGAGTGGCAAATTCTTCTTTTTATGTACCTTAAACAATCTTCTACGCCAACTTCCTCGGTCTTTTTCACCACTACAATGTCATTGTGGTCGGGCATGCAGCTAGAATACATTCATTTTATGCACCGTTAAGTGTACTCGTATGACGTTATTGACATTCAGAAATCCGATTGAATTACATGACAAACGGGCTATCAGGGAACAAACGAAAATATCGTAGTCTTGGGTAGCGGAGCTAATGTAGGGATAACAAGA